GTAGTGTAGAGTAGTACGTAGTAGTAGTAGTAGACTGAAGAACGTAGTACGTAATATAAGTTAATAATACTATANAATATATATATATATATATATATATATATATATATATATATATATATATCGAAACACACTAGCAAAATTTTCGGATAGACATACAAGTAGATCATCTATTCCTTGTTAATTGCCTTTCATATGAGTAATCATCTAAAGAAATGCAAAAAGGGAACAGCTAGGTAACAAGATAGCATAATTTCCAAAGTACTACAGCAGGTGACAAGTCCCAAAGCTATTATTTTTGCCTCAATATACTTCTTTCAAAGATAAAAAGAAACAGCTAAAACGAAACTGCTAGAAGGACTCAACTATACTAAATTAAAAGTCTAGGCTAAGCTAAAAAATATACTTGAAATTACAAAATTAATAAATTAATGTTAGACAATAATTTCCATAAAGGAAAGTCACAAGGATTGTCCTTGACATCAAAATAAACAAACATCCAAATATTTACTTTCTGACAGATAACGAACTATATGATAGCAAATATCAAAGGATGTACAGGACTCAGACATGATTGAATATCTGAATAATGATTTTTTACACTTAGAATACAGCAATCGCAAAATAGGTCCCACAGAAACTGATAAGGGAGGATACTATATTCTGCAAGGTGATGATCATCCTTTATGACCCTTCCTCTGAAAATAAGTCGTTGCTGTGCTGCAGGAACACCAATTCCACCCGCAATTTGTTCTTTGAAACTATACACAGTTATCTGCAAAAAATTAAAAAGAACCAAATAATTAATACCAGAATCGTAACGGTTATAACTGTCCACATACACATTCTAACTTCTTTTTTAAAGAAATAACACCATATTGCTAATAAGATATTTCTAAAAATTAATTCTGAGATATGAATTAAAGACATGAGCAAAAGCCCATTAAGGAGAAACACAAGCCTCAAAGGACCTCCCATGAATCATGTTAAGTTCAATGAAATGTTTGAAAGCATGCCCAAGTCAACTTGATTAATCCAAGTCAACAGGCAACATCCTACTTTCAACCAAAAGTCAGATTTCACCGACTCTTCAGAGAAGATTGGGTACGTCAACTATTTGACCCGCTGAACTTCCCATTGCTGAAAACACTCACCCAGTTTTTCAAACTTGTGTGCTTGTTTCCCTTCTCTACCTTTTGGAAAGGGGGCACAAAGCCAAAAAATTTGACTCCCAGCATTATTTCAAAGGAAACAGAGGGTCCATCAGGATCCAACTGAGCCCATAAGGATCCAACTGACCCCTTTTGCTCCCACTGCTGCGTATCATACTAAATATAAATATTTTGACATACCAATACCATTTACCAATTTAATGTATTACTTTGTAATTTATTGTGAATCAAGATACTAAATAAGTATAAAAAAAATAAAAGACACCTCTCATGGTGCATAAAGTTTATGAAAAGTAGATATGGATGCATTTCCACTTCTTTTCAACATTTTTTAAAATCTTTCCAGAAAATCAAAAGAATTAAAAACTTGCAAAGTTGCAAGTTAATCGCTACCATCTGATCAATTTCAACCCACTACAATTTGATCAACTTCGTTATTTCTCAAGTTCACTAGTCGATCATTGTACATGTCGCCCCCAGTGCGCCAGCATTGAAGCCTCCTCCCAGTAACATGTTTCAACCTGATTTCTACCATAATGCATGCCTGTGATATGAGGGAACATCTCCTCAAGAAAGTAACCACAACCTAGCAGACCTTCCAAAACTTCACCATTTCCCATGACCAATGAAAAAAATGAATTGCCCTCCGAAATACTCAACCATGTTATATCCTTTTCTATATCTCATACGAGCTTCCTTTTGTACAACCATGGCAAAATTAAATACCCTACAGAGATTCGTTTTTGGAAAGTGTCCCCCACTAACATTTTCACCCAAGATGACATTCCCTCCCATCCATGTACCTTCCTCTTAAAGATTACATAAGTCAGGATCATAAGCATGGCACAATTCTTAGTCCACACACGCATGCACAACAAAAGAAAAGGAAAAGATCCAAAGAACATTCAAACGTCTTCATGAATCCTTTTGCAACATCCACAAGCATTTGAAGAGAGGAAAGATGTAATATCAAATGGAAAAAGAACCCTTCATGATTGTATCTCCTGCCCAAATATAGCACTTACTCCTTTAACCATCAAACATTTGCCAAGTATTCTCCAGAAAAAGACTGCACAATGTTCCCAAGGAGCTCAAAAACATCGATCTTGAGCACATAAACAAAAACTCTCACCCCCCTATACTACTTTATCAAGATTTTGAAATAACTTTAAGATCAAGTCTAGCCTCAAAACCCATGTCTTCCTCGAAGTTGCTACTTGACCCTAAACTTGTCATATAAATAACAAAACACAAAACGGAAGGGCAGGAGTCATTTCATTAAGCATCGTGGATGTGAAGCATACAAACTCATAAGGAGCTGTTTTAATAAAGCTTACCAAGTTCGATATCAATGTAACTACTGTAGTTTTTCTCATCTTCTGAAGACCTCTTTCTAACAATCAAGGAGGCAACGAAAAGTGGCGATTTTTATAGTCCTAAGGGGGCTTTGTGAAAGGGTCTACAATTTGGGCAGGTCTCTTCTTTCTTTTTTTTTGGTTAGATAGGGTTTTTTTTTTTTTGGTTTAGATAGGTTGTTGACTGTTCATGAGCATAGAAGCCGAATTCAGAATGAGTAAGAGCATAAGTACGCATTTGATGCAGCACAAACCAGAGAAGGTGATAAAAAAATCAAAAGAGGGGGAATGCAACAACCATACAAGGAGCACAAAAGCTCAAGAACTCAAAAGTACTTACACAAATACTTTAATCAAAATTCGTCACCGATTTTTCATCCCCATACAAGACCTTCTATAGACTCAGTTCCCATATCTAGATGCTCGCAAGAAGTCCCCATATATTGGAAAGTTAAAACCATCTAAAACTACTCGAAAGTATCTATTAGAAATAGAAAATGCATGGGCAATAAGCAAAACAGAAACCAAGCACCAAAGAGACCAATACTCTCTTCCGAAACTACCTCTATGTTATGGAAAAATATACTGTCCCATATCCAGTAAAGACTATGATTTTTTCAAACCCCATAATACCCCCTCCCCCCCCCTTTCCCCTCTTCTTTCTCTTCTCACATTCAAGATTGGTCCTTGAGTTTTCTTTACCATAAATTTCGGCAAAAACTCTTCATCAACTTTCTATAATTACCTTTTCAAAACCCCTCTAGTCATAGATGCCATCTCCCACTTGTCATTTGGTACAACCCTAATTTTGCTTTCCAAGGTCAATCTCGAATATTTCCGGCTCTAATACATTGTCCAATTCGTTATCATATCACAATGTGGATAAGTCATAAATATTTTCCTCGATTTCCCATGCAATACCAAGACTTGTTTTCTGATATCAAATCTTTGTATTATTTCATAAAGGGCTCCAAAGTCCATGGTGGGGGGTAGTTAGTACTTGGACTTTGACTTCCGATGCTACCCCTTATGACTTTCCTTGAGGAAATTGTGTACAGAGAAGATACTCAAACGCCTCCTTATTTTGGGTTCACCAACTTCTGTTTCCACTTCATCACTCACTTCGTCTAGATTCTCATTATATATAGGATCACCAAATATGTCAATAACAGGTGATTTAAATTTACAATCAAAAAGACACTCATAATGGATTCTCTTATGAAGTTCTTAGAAAATATACGCAGTTGGTGCAAATCCTATGCACTCACCCAACAGGCCTCCGGGGTTTGTAGCTCGATTGATCACAAATCAATCAGCCGATATGTCCTTTGGGTCAAGTTTGCCATCGATTGCACTAGGGTCTCAAGGGTCATATGCAGCTCTCAAATCTCTAATCCACCTCAAATGAAGACACCATAAGAATCAGAGAGGGCAAGGAAAAACTCAAAAAAGGGAGAGTGCAATGGCCCTAAGGGACGTCAAAAGCTCAAGAACTCAACGTCCTCACACAAATACAATAATCAAAATCGTAACTGAATTTTCAGCCTCAATTCAAGACCTTTTACAGATTCTATTCCAACCTCTAGAGGCTTCTAATGAGCCATAACCAAGTCCCCCATACATTGGACAGTCAAAACCACCTAAAACCACTCTAAGTATCTAATAAAAGAAAGACAATACACAGGGAATAGGCAACAGAACCCAAACCCCAAAGAAACTAACACTCTCTTCCTAAACTACCTCTGCTTATTTTGTACAAAAACATAACCCATAAATTTCAGCATAAGACTATGATTCATCATTCATCATATAGGTGACTAAATATACCAAATTTAAATAGTAACAAGTACAACTAGCTTAGGAATAACTATGCAAAAGAAAAAAGCACAAATTGAAAGGATACCATGTTTTATTTACCAGAAAATCTAAAAAGAAAAAAGACTTCTTGTTATATAAGTTCATTAGTTGTTGGATAATAATAAAAATAGTGTAGGCATAATAGTAAACAAAGATTTTAAAGATAAAGTAGTTAATGTCCAAAGAATAGGTTATAGGCTCTTATTAATTAAATTTGTATTAGGGGAAGAGATAATTAACGTAATTAGTGCTTGTGCACCACAAGTAGGATTAGATGATAGAATTAAGAGACAATTTTGGGAGGACATAGATAAAATAGACCAAGACATACCAAATGGAGAAAGGACTGTTTTAGGGGGGCACTTAAATGGTCATATAGGGAAGGATAGTAGAGGATGTGAGGGGGTACATGGTGGGGGATATGGGTTTAGAGAAAGAAATGAGATGGGTGAGACAATTCTAGATTTTGCTATAGTGTACAACCTAGAAATAGCAAACACTTATTTTAAAAAGAGAAATAAACATTTAATAACCTATAAGAGTGGATCACATAAAAGCCAGATAGACCTCTTCTTAGTTAAGAAGGTAGATCAACCATGATATAAAGACTACAAGGTTACCTTAGGAGAGAGTTTAACTACCCAACATAGGCTCGTGGTTATGGACGTCTGCATAAAAGCATGGAAGAGAAGACGTGAAAGTAATGGATGTCCAAGAACTAGCAGGTGGAATTTTAAAATGAGAAAATAGATTTATTTAGGGATAAATTAATTTGAAGAAGGAAAATGGAACTCTAACCATGATGTCAATATAATATGAAATGAGATGCTTGATTGTATCAAGAAGGTGGCAAAAGAAGTTTTAGGAGAATCTAGAGGGAAAGGAAACTAGTGGTGGAGAGATGAGGTTCAAAAGGCCTTAGCAAAAAACGATCATGTTATTTAACTTGGCAGTGTGATAGAAATGATCAAAACTTAGAAGAATATAAAAATGCTAAAAAAACACTAAACAAATAGTAAGTAAAGGTAAACTTAAGGCATATGATAATCTATACAATAAACTGCGAGCAAGAGAAAGTGAAAAAGATGTCTTCAAATTAGCAAAAATAAGAGATAAAAAGTGTAGAGATCTGAACCATATTAAATGCCTTAAGAATGAGGATCAAAGGGTCTTGGTGAAGGATGATGAAGTCAACGAAAAGTGGATAGTTTATTCCAAAAATTATTAAATGACGAACACAATGGAAACATAGCAGTAGAAAGAGCTGTTGTTACAAATGCTGGCGGAGGTCATAGATACATTTGTAGGATTAGGAAGTGGGAAGTGAAAGAAGTTTTAAAAAGGATGAGGATAGAAAAGGCTTTAGAACCGAATGGTATACCGATGGAGGTTTGGAAGTGCATGGAGGAGATTAGCATTGACTGGCGGACAAAATTGTTCAACAAGGTGTTGAGAACAAAGAAAATGCCAAATAAATAGAGGAAAAGTATTGTGATACCTATTTACAAGAACAAAGGAGACATACAGAATTGTGCAAACTATCGAGAGATCAGGCTTATGAGGCGTACTATGAAGCTCTGGGAGAGAGTGATTGAGCAATGACTAAGGCATGAAACAAGTATATTTGAAAGTTAATTTGGTGTTATGTTAGGAAGGTCAACAACTGAGGCCATTTTTCTACTTAGACAACTGATTGAGAAATTTAAGGCAAAGAGAAAAGACCTCCACATGGTCTTTATTGATCTAGAGAAAGCTTATGATGGAGTACCTCGAGATTTGATTTGGCAGGTGTTGGAAAAGAAATGAGTCTCCAAACACTACATCGACTTCGTAAGAGATATGTATGATGAAGCGCCAACTAGTGTAAGAACTAGTGAAGCGACAAGTGAGTTTTCAGTAACAATAGATCTATATCAAGAGCCAGCATTGAGCCCATACCTCTTTGTTTTAGTAATGGACGACTTAACTAGGCTCCTACACAATGAGGTATCGTGGTGCATGTTGTTCATAGATGACATAGTTTTGATCGATAAGATTCACAATGGCGTCAACACAAAGTTAGAACTTTGGAGGGATGCTCTAGAATCCAAAGGTTTTAAAATTAGCCGGACTAATACAGAGTATATAGAATGCAAGTTTAGTAATAATAGGAGTAGAGATGAGGAAGTAGTTAAGATTAACGGCCAGAAAATATAAAAAAGACTGCACTTTCAAAATCATGGGTCAAAAATCCAAGAAAATGCAGAGATTGAGGAAGATGTTGCACACAGAATTAGAGTTGGGTGGGCGAAGTGGAGATGAGCCACTAGAATTCTATGTGATCGCCACATACCAATGAAGCTGATGGGAAAATTCTATAGGACAGCTGTGAGACCAGCTTTGCTCTATGGGGCGAAATGTTGGGCAGACAAAAAACAATATACCTTAAAATGAGTATAGCAGAGATGATGATGTTGAGATGGATGAGTGGCAAGACAAAAAGGGATAGAATTCGAAATGAATTCATTCGGGACCATTTAGGTGCGGCACCTATAGGCGACAAGATGAGAGAGAGTAGACTTCGGTGGGTTGGCCATGTGTAGTGCCAACCAAGTACAATACCTATTAGGAGATGCAAGTTAGTCCAAGTAGGACTAAAAGGGGCAAGGGGTAGGCCCAAACGGACGTGGTTGAAAGTAGTCCAAGAAGATATGGGGACTTATGGCCTCACTGAGGGTATGGCCTTTAATAGAGCAGAATTACGGACCAGGATTCATGTTGTCGACCCCAATTAATTTGAAAAAGGCCATGATAATGACGAATAATGATGATGAGTTGTTGGACTCCAAATATGCAGCAAGCGTTCTAGGTTTACACATTCAACCAAAAACAAAAACTTATTATCACATGCATGAGGCATGGGTCCAAGGATCATATGCTAAATTCAATAAATTTTGGGCGGAGATGGAAGGAAATAGATCATTTATGTGGATTTCAATAGCCATTTCACAATTATAACGAATGAAGTTCCTCTTAGTAGGGAGAAAAAGATCTTTTCTCCCCTCCTCCTCTTTCCACAACTATGGGTAATGTTTTGGACAACATTATGTCCTATAGTAGCAGAAGCAATGGGTTTGATAATATTTTCTTATCAAACTAGTTAATGATATTGCAGTATTATGAGAGGCATTAGTTGAACATGAAACTTATCACATGCCCTATCATACTTCAATACAATGTCCTCGCATACGGTGATTTCCAAATCATTAAGATTTAAGTTTCAAAAAGCCTAGTAGACCAGTCTGAAATGGTCGCAAGTGGACATGATTCCAGTATTGGATTTAATTAAACTGATTGTTCAGATGCTTTGGATTTTTATGTGATCGCCGTATACCAATGACGTTGAAGGGAAAATTCTATAGAACAACTGTGAGACCAGCTTTGCTCTATGGGGATGAATGTTGGGCGGACAAAAAACAATATACTCATAGATTGAGTATAACGGAGATGAGGATGTTGAGATGGATGAGTGGCAAGACAAGAATGGATAGAATTCGAAAGAAATCCATTTGAGAGAATTTAGATGTGGCATCAATAGGCGATAAGATGAGAGAGACAACTTAGGTGGGCTAGCCATGTGTGGCACCGACCAAGTACAGCACCTGTTGGGAGGGGTGAGTTAGTTCAAGTGGAAGGACTTAAAAGGACAAAGGGTAGGCCCAAAATGACGTGTTTGAAAGTAGTTCGGAAAGATATGAGAACTCATGGCCTCATTGAGAGTATGGTCTTTAATAGAGCAGAATGGTGGCCAGGATTCATGTAGCCGACCCCAATTAATTGGGAAAAAAAAGGCTATGATGATGATGATCCATACGCTTTGGGACACAATGGTTGAGGATTTTAAGTAGTGTAACCCTTAATTGATTGGGGCCATGCAGCCCTTAGTTGCACAAAGCTCGGAAAGTAATTATCATTTCCTGAGCAGTTCATAAAATCCTAATGAATCATTGATCAGTTCCCACTTCCACAATATTTGACAAGGAGTTCCCAATAAGGTGTAGCAGCTTGGAAGGGGAGCTCTTTCAATGAAGGTGTTTATCTTGGTAAATCCTTTCTCTCAAGTCAGTTGCCTGCTGACTAAATATGGCACCTATCAGTTCCTCCAAAAGTAGCAGCTTCTCCTAAGCAACGGCAAATCATAAGATAACAACGACCACCTTAGTAAGCCTTTGTATAGCTGCTCGAAGGAGGATCAGCTCCTCATCCAATATGACAGCATGAACCATGGCATGTTGAATTCAATTAGTTCTTTGCTGTGAATAGATGTCTTCCAAAGTTGATAGAATGTAAGTTAAATCTCAGGCCCGAATCCATGGATAAAAGGGGCCAAGGTTCTCAAATGTAGGTGTAAGAGAGTACTCATTTGTTGTGAGGGGTATGTAGCTTTTTGGTTTTGGAATTTTTTTTGCAAGGGGGGGGGGGGGCCACGGCAGGTGGGTCGTTTTTGGGGTGTTGTGGAATTGGGAGGGAGGCTTTTTTTTTTAAGATGATAATCAATGTGGAGCCTTATTGGAGGATGGATGATAATCAATGGGTCAAGCACCAAGTCTTTAGAACATGCATATATCTCCATGTCAATAAGATGACCAATTGCATGGCAAGCAAGTCATGTAAAATGTTGAAAACAAATAGAACGATTAGCGTTGAGGAACGTTCACTCCCCTAATAAGCATATACAGTGATGCATGTTTGCGAACGCGACAAACGAAATTCATGTTTCTTTCCTGAGGCATGCAAAAAAACGTGCAAAAGACATGCATGAAAGTCTCACAATGATTTTGATATATAAGAGGCTATAAGCCACTCAAAAGGCATGACAAGTTAACAACTACATGAATCATTACCACCTCTTAACCAAATGAGTTATACCCAAAGTATGTCCAGCCCAACACAAGGACTAGTCCAGTGCAGAGTGGGCTCAAACCTCCAAGTGAACTCAAAATTTCCTTGAAAAACAAAGAAGTGTCCAAGTGCCCAATACACAAAAGTGGAGACTAAAGTCTGAGAAAGGACACAAGACATGCAGGAGATTCTCCATCCCCCTTTCCAAAAGAAAAACAAAAAAAAGCAAAATATATATATATATATATATATATATATATAAAAAAAGAGGTCGCTGACCCAAGTTGACTCAAGTGCGTCTGAAGTTTCTCACCCAAATTGTGATACAGCATGGTATTCCATATATGACATCCAAAGTTACATGGGAAACCAAAGAATTTGTGAAACAACAACAAAAACCAAGATTTATACTAGAAAACAAAAAAGAAGAAGGGAAAAAGTAGGGCACCATCAAAGCCAAACGTAAAGCCCATAGCATATGAATGCATTGAGTGCAAGGTAAGTGACATTACATTTTTATTCACTCGGAAAGTGTAGATCTGAGAATCCAGCGTCTTGATGTTGACCTCAATGGTTGAATTAGAACTTTCACTTGCATTTTGGCTGGAGCTTGCATCTTCATTAACTTTATCATCAGCCATGCTATTACAAAAGAACATGATAACCAAAAACTTCATCACTCAAGTCATCAATTGTAGAAGAACAAGCAGATGTCAAAAAGCCAAAAGGACCCTCAAACAATAGCTAAAGTAAAAGACCAATCAAAAGCTTTAAGTTGCTCAAAACAATATGAGATTCACAAGAAAATGGAGTTAAAGAACATTGAATGTGTTAGAAGGGAGTAAAAACGACTTCTGGCATTACAAAAAACCTGTGGAGGAAACCCTCTTATATTAGGGAAGGAAGTCTAAAACATCCATAAATAGATCAACAAACACAAAAAAGACAAATGTAGTACCACAAAAAGTTAGAAAGGCATGAAATAAAATGCATGACTACAGGGTTTTCGTTTTCTTTTGGCTAAATTATACAAGATCTTCTACAAAAAGGAAGGCCAGCTCCAATAACAAAAAGGATCACCACAATGCCCAGAGCAAGGTAAACACCACATGGAAGAAGGATAATGCAGGCTATCTGCCCCATGAAAGTATGAGTTGCTGCCAGTAAACATTTACTCCCAAACAGCAACACAGCACCCAAAATTGGAAAACCAATCAGCTGCCTCATTTCCCTCGAAAAAACATGGGAGGCATACTATGACACATTCAACACTTATTGGATAAACAAGAGCACCAAACTCCACACCACAATGGAGGTTTGACCTACGCAAGAATACATCAGACAAGAATTTCCAGAATATGAAGGATGGATTTTTTTTTTTTAAGGACATTATGATTTTTTCTTTTGTAAATGACCTTATGGATGTTATTGAGGAATTTGCATGATAGAATGATTGCGAAGGTTGATGCAAATTCATAAAACTCATATGCAAAAGAGGAGATGTACATCAAAGATGTTAGGCTTAGGCCTGTAATCCTCAAACTGAACTACACGAACTTCACCAATGTTCACTCTACAAGGAACAATGAGGTTTTACATCTGATTTTCCAAATAAGGGTGTTTTCTAAAATTAGAGAATTACTACGTCCATGGGTTGCACATGAAATCACTTATTAAATATATTTAAATTCCAGGTTTGACTTGTAAAAAGCAAACAGATTGAAATTACTAAATGTTATGTGCAGACAAATCATGTGTGGATAAAAGGGGCAAGGATGGTGTTTATGTGCATCTCAAAAACAACATTCTATATCATGATCAATGGGGATGGAAACGGACATTTCGGGTTTTCCGCTTAAGGGTGACAGCACAGTTACCACATGGGAAGAGACATCCTACGATAAGGATGAGATTGGTGAGGCAGTAATTGGTTTCTCCAACGAGCCTTAATGGTAGATTTAGAGAGAACCTATCATCAAAAAGTGGATGACAAGAATGCGACTCCCAAAGGGGATTGTGACCAGAAAGATAAGTTTTGATGGAAGTACGATGCACTCTTTAGTTTGGCCAAAAGTAAGCCCTAGTCCATTTGCGCATTTTATTAGGACCGGATGAAAAGGATTTTCCTAGGTCTTATAGGACACCGATGAAAAGGATCCTTGGACTTTTTTGTGCATTTTTATTAGAACAACTGGATGACAAAGGGGGTCAATACCAGATTTATAACATTTATACCGAAAAGAGAGAGTTGTGAACATTTAGAAACATCTAGGATATTTGGCCTATAGGCCCAAACATAGAACACAGAAGATCACTGCAAAGTTCTGTTTAAAAAACAAGGAGGCCATCGATTATTTTCTTAAATCAAGAAGATTGCATAAAAGGAAAAGCATTAAGGGATCGTTTGCTTCATGTGAAACAGTTGGCTAAAGTGTAACAGAATTTCCTTGAAACCAATTATACAGGAAAGGATTTTTCAAGCCTGCTTGTTTCCTATGTTTACTAAACAGGTCTAGAAATCCGTGTTTTGTATGCAAATAAGTTTCTTATGTTTGGTAACTGTTTGGTAAACTGTCTTTCAGGAATTTGGTTTATAACCATTCACTATGATTTTTGTTGATTAGATATGAAGTCTGTCCAACAAAGGCAATTTACTGAAAACAATCCATCTGTAATATGACTAAAATTGGACAGTTCAGATCATAGTATGTACATTAATTTATTCATTGCTATACACTCTCTTGCCCCTCTAATATTGCAAGATGTTTAATAGATATTAATATACCTATCTGATATACCAATTTAATCTGAAGGATAATGCATATCAACATAAGATGGTGCAAACTATTCTAATTCATTTCAAAACATTCAACCTTAATTAACTGCAACTATCATAATTTTTCCTTTCAATAGAAATACGGAAGTTTCAACATACCATGATTATATTATATCCACCCCCAAAACGCACTACAAAGTCCAAAGTTCAGTATTAGGCTACTCAATGCACTTTTTTTAAATGATAAACTAAGACAATACAGATTGGCTATTACGAAGGGCAACTCTGTAGATTCTACAGCTATTCTTTTTCTTCAGCAACTCTGCTTTTAATCCATGTTCTTTACTAAAATATTCAAAATGTTCTTCGGCTTTGTTGCTAGTTGATCCATGTTGTTTCTTAAAACTCTCATAGCGTTTCTTTGCCTGCTTTGAAAGTGGGAAGACTTTTGATTCTTGGTAATATCCGCCTACAGAATTCTGACACTCTTACCAAGATGTGTACATTTGAAAACACAGTATAGTTAGGTTCAAATATCAAAAAATGTTATATTGGGTGCGATGTACTATCAAGTTCGAATAGAGACAAAGGGTTAAATGAATCAAACCAAGTCCAATCTATACAACTACAATGTCCTTGTCTTGAGTAATACAGTTCCAACACTACAGAGGAATGCATATAATCGCCATTTTGCACTAATTACTAAAAGAGACTCATGGGATTTTGTTAAGGAAAATTGTTTCATGAAGGCTGGACCGCATTTCTACAATATGCGGTCCAGACGTATAAAGGATCCATCTTAAAGATGTATGCAAATAGGTAGTCCATGTAAAAACAATTGTAACCAACGGTCCAAATATTCTGTTACTATAATTATTATTTCTAGTTTTCAAAAAAAAAAATTCATATTCATGATCTCCATGGTAAAGATTATATATTCTCTAAAAATTAGGATCAAATTATATTTAAAATATATATTTATTGCCAAGCCCGCATTTCAACAATATGCGGACTGGTCGCATAGAAACCGTGTCCTTTTGTTAATGCCATAATTGTTTCTAGGTTTAATCTAAACAATATCCAATTCTTTCCTTCCTATTTTTTTTTTTTTGATAAAGCTTAACTGTATTACTATAAAATGAGAACTATAAATTGGGTTTTATTCACCTAAGAATAATGATGACAAATTCTAGGTAACTTTTACCAACTAACAACACTGAATTCAAACACAAATATTGAAAAATCTCGTTTCTTCCACAAACTATAAACAATAAGGATTTCAGTTTCATAAATTTAAGCTCAAGACAACAAATTATAAAAGGAATTCTTGTAAGATAAAAAGGTATATTGATAAAAGTATAATAACAAATTCTGACTATTTTCCACGTACTCAAAAAAAATAAATTCACCCCAAATGGACATAAATTTTGCCTCATTCCACATACAGAAACTAGGAAACTATGAGTGACTTAATAGCAAAGGAAGATCACCCACGTGTTTATTCGACTGACAACACGACCCTGTTGTTGTTTTTCCTTGCATCAATATAAGTTCAAATATTATAGTAACAACCAAAAAGCAAAGAAATTACAAAACCATTTTAGTCAGGGAAATCAAACCAGAGTTTGGGTTTTATGGGCATAATAATAACAACAAACTCCTGGTATTTTTCACAAAACAACAACTGAATTCACTCATAAATAATGATAAATTCCAAGTTCCTTCCACATACTCTAAGTACAGTGACTTCGTTTTTGATAAAGGTTAACTTTATATTAATAGAGTATAAGCATACAAAAACCACAGTAAGTGGTGTAGGCAGCCCACAAGTGGGTGCTCAGATTACAAAAGAGGTAGGGGAAAAGAAAATAAAGAAACAAAAAAAAACAACAAACCATAAAACAAAACAGGCCGTGACAGGAAAAAGAGGGGGAGGAATGCTGCTAGGGTGCGCCTTCGGGCAAAGAAGAGATACAAGGTAGATAGCAGTAAAACTAGAGAGAAGGGGAAAAAAGAAAAGATAAAGGGGAGAAGCAAGGGAGGAATGAGAGCCAGAAAATTGGGCTCTGAAGACGACACCATTGTTGAAAGCCATAGGACTATGGCCAGCAAGGAAAAATTCAGGCGTGCTTCCTGCTTGTGCTTCTGACAGAGGTAAGTAAATTATAAGGGATCACCTGCCTGGGAATTGGGAGAGAGAGGAAGAAGAGGAGAGAGTAAAGAGAGAGCACATGATAGGTAGGTAGAAAAAAAAGGAAGAAAAGAATGGGGGAGAGAGATTGCAGAAAGCAGAGTGAAAGGGGAGAGAGAGAATGAAGCATGGGAAAATAGAGAGAGAATTCAAAGAAGGAAAGGGACGGGAGTGAAGCGAGATGAAAAGGAGAGACGTAAATTCTTCCTGAGTGGGATGGAGAGGGCAAGAAAACGAGAAAAGGGAAAAGAGGAAAAGATATACGAAAAAAAGAAGTGACAGTGTCAAGATAAAAGCATATAAATTTTTTTTTTCCTTTTTTTCTTTTTTTATTTTTTTCTTTAAATTACAGTAACTTTCCACATCAAGATATGACCACCCATCTAATTATACAAGTGATGCAATCGAAAAACGTTCTTGGATTTTCCCATTTCATATATGTAAGCTCAAGCCATGGAGAATCAAGCCGAAACGCAGAGAAATAGCATAAAAATAATCGAAGAGGAGAGAGAGCACCTCAAGATCTCAAAATCCATCTGTATACAAGACAAACTTCCTTTTCATTCTCGTCAATAGATTCCCAAAATTGTCCCACCTCCCCACATTAGCAAATAAACAAACAATATCCCAATAATGGATCCCAAAGAAAGCCACAAATGAACCCAAAATTAAAACCCACCCAAAAATCTTCCAGTAATAGAAAATGGAAGCAGAAGCAGAAGCAGAAGCAGAAAAAAAAAAATGGCTGATCATACCGGACAGAACCAGGCGAACGGTAACACGGATTCACAGAGATTGGGCTTGAAGATGATCAACCTTCATAACTTCATGATGTGAGCAAAAAAAAGCTGAACAGGCTGCACAAGTTAAAAGAGGAGAGAGAGGTTGGGGAGATTGGGGATGAGAGAGAGAGAATTCTATCTAGAGCATTCGATGTAGGTGTTTAGATAGAGAGAAGGGTTTGGTTGGTACAGGGGAAGAGAGAAGAAGGAGAAAAGTGGGAGAGGGCGTGACTGTAACTTCGCAGGAGGAAGGAGGATTTGGGTGGGGAAAGTGAAACGAAGGAAAAGCGAGGAAATGAGCTAAGGTGACGGGGTGCTTAAGAGAAATTCAGACTTCGGAAAAAGATGTAGAAATTAAGAGCGTTCTAGTATGGACTATGGAGTATGGCGGTACTATGGAATATGGCCGCCAGTTCCGGTATTTCTTTTGGAAAATTGTTTCATGCGGGCTGGACCGCATTTTTACATATGCGGTCCAGAAAGTACAAAGATGGAAGATGGATGCAAGTAGGTGTTCCACCTAGCAACAATGAATATCAGCTATCTAAATGTTTTTTTTACTATAATTATAGTTTCTAGTTTTTAAAATTTATTTATTTTTTTATATTCATGATCTCCATGCTAGAGATTACATATCTTTAAAAAGTAAGTCTTAAAATCCATCTCAAAAATAGATTTATTAATAAGCTCGCATTTCTACATATGCGGGCTTGGCCACATAGAAACCGGGTCCATTCTTTTTGATATCTCATATAATGGGGGAGAGGATGGAAACGAGCCGGGTTGGGTCGAGTTTGGGCCCAAAAAGTTTATGGGACCCGAACCCGAAGTTATCATACCCATACCCAAACCTAACTAGACCTGGACCCAAGCAATAAATATATATATTTAAATAAATATATATGCATTATTTAAATAGTATAACTAAATATATATTTATATTTATATAAGAACACATTAAATATTTTGTATATTAAATATTATTTAAATAAATAACATTGTTCTGGCCAATCTGGGGTTAGGTCCACATGGCCCTGGACTTGAATAATGTTTGGATCTAGGACCCGAACCCGACCCTACCCGGACCCAAGTCAAGCCCGGTCATCAAGTACAAGTTCAGGTTCAATCCATTGCTACCCCGGGAGGAGAAGGGTTTGGGGAAGGGTTTAAAAAAAGTTGGGTCGGATTGGAATCAACCCATTGGACTGCAAAACTGTAATAGTATTTTGATTCCCTTATTATATTGGGAATCAGTCAGAAGGAGAATTTGTAATTCCTTTCAGACCACCAAAAATGAATTGTTTGCAGCTATTTTTTGAACTATTTTATTTCTTTTTTTTTGCTTTTTTAGTTCAATAATGGACTCCAATAATTGAAATGGAGCTACAAGAAGCTTTAGGTCGATAAAAATTTTTGTCTATCAAGCTTTTCATCAAATTTCTTTCTGAAAAATGCATGTGTTTTAACTGTGTTGAGAAATCCATCATTCATGGAGTTTCAATTTTTTAGAACCAGTCTTTGTAATTTGGTTCTAAATGTAGATAATTTATGTTGGGTTCACCCATTTAGATCCCTCTCGTATGAATGCGGATATGCACTGTGGAACCACGATATATAGGACACAAATATGCTACAGTCAATGTGTTTGTATATGAGTGGGGAAGCATGCAATAAAACATATAAAAGCTATAAATATTATTGGTAACGGATTTACGTAGTTCACCTTTTTAGGTTACGTCCACGGGATAAATAGACAAATCCATTATTAACTCAAGGTTATAATAGTCTTTCAAGAAACCAACTTTATTGGGATCATCGATTTCATCTAAAAACTTCTCTATATAAGATTTCTCTCTCTGATCTCGGAGACTTTTTTTTCTTGTTAGAAACTTCTCTATCTAAAAGAAAATATTCTTTTTTTCTCTTCTTCTTTTTCCCTTCTCTCTATCTATTTTCTCTCTCAACAAAGAAAAAACTTGAGAAGATGATCACTGGCTCTCTTTCATCTTCTTCTTCTCTTTAAGAAGAAAAATAACTCTCTTTCTTCTTTTTCTCTCTTCATAGAAATATAATTTTTTATCTTCTTCTTCTCACTTCAGATAAATATAACTTTCTCTCTCATCTTCTTCTCCTCTGCGAAAGAAAGCTTCATGTATCTCTAATACACCATGAAGAGTCCGCCCAACTATTGGCCTAAGAGAGGTGTACACCCAAAATGGCCTAAGAGAGGCGGCTTTAGTTAAACAAAGCAAAAGCTAATGTAGCCTCCCACGTGATTTCTATTTGTATGGACAAAAGGGGATAACAATCATATTTGGAAGGATATCTCATAACTTCCTAAAAAGAAGGTCCATCTCTATCTCCCTTTTTGGAAAGAGATAAGAGGAATATCTTTTCATACCAAAAGCTATCATGTAAAATCCTATGTTTATGGAAAGAAAACATAGTCAACAAGTCACCCTTTTCATATTTCCAAACTGCCTTTATCAAAAAGAGCAATTTTATTAGTGTCACTCCTTCATGAGATGGGATACCCAATAATCTCCCCCTTCAATCTCAAGAGGGAGGTCTCCCTTCGTAAATCAACCAGGTACTCAAATAGCACTCACGCCAACCATGTTTCTTCATGACTATTCCTTATCTTTGGCCAATATCTTCGACATCATATCCGACATGCTCTTGTCGACATGGATTTTCCCTAGCTGCACCAGTTTCTCACCCTTCTACAGCTTAAATTACTATACAGTAACTCCCCATGTAAAAGTAATCGAGTATCCTGAGATCGATTTTTTAGAGTTTGGTACTCTCACGATGTCTTCATCTATGTACCAATATTATACAAGTTTTCCTCCCCTAAAGCACAAGCACATTTTGGATATTCCTCTGAGATATTTGAATATCAAAATGACTATTGTCTAGTTTTTCTTGCTAATATTAATGATATTTGAATATGCTCACGATGTCATTGTCAGCCCAAAGAGTCACTGGCAGTTAAAGTGATTCACTATTAGTCAAAGTGGTGACTGACGGACCATTGGTCAAAACCTTATCTACACAGTGGCGATTCATTATTGGTCAAAGTGAAGATTAATGGTTTATTGGTCAATACCTTCTTTGCACAGTGGCAATTCATTGTTGGTCAAGGTAGTGACTAATGGTTTGTCGATCAATACTTTTTTTGTAAAGTGAGTACTCACCGACAATATCTAACTGAGCTCACCACGCATCTACTGCATGTGCTTCCTACAGCCAACCCATAGGGAACTTTCTGAGTTTCTTCTTTATTCCTCTTGGTTGAAGGGATCTCTGGGCACATGAACTCTCGCGCCTTCTTGCCTTTCGACAACTTTACCATGTCAAGGATGTAATTCTTATGCAATGATATATCTCATTTTACGTAGTTTTAACCCACAAGCTTGTGTGTTTAACCCACAAGCTTGTGCGTTTGTCGAAGGGTTTATGTCCCCTATATGACCTTCTCAGTTCAATTGTATGTGACACTTCTTAACTTGTACTCACCCTGCTCCTCATCACTTGGAACTGACATGTCAACTCTTTGGACCCATCTTCTTATTTCACTTCTCTCCCGTCTTCATTTACTACGGTGGAAGAACTATGACCGGTTCTGAACCATTGAAGATTTGTGGCTTTGCTGCCTTCTGCACGTCTTCAATAGTAAGGTCTTTTTGAAAGACCACACTCATACCTCTAATTCCTGTACTCAAGATCTGACAGCCTACAGTTAAACTTTTCATTTGAGTACCCTTAGAAGATGCATTGGAGTGTTTTCTCATTCAACTTGGATCCTTGTTCCTTGGCACGTGCACCAATACCTCGAACACCATAAAATATGAATAAGAGATATTATTTCTGGTCTAACCTCTCTCTAGGATCTGACCATCCAGAGGAAACAATGAGATCGATATTAGGTAGCATGTTGTGAGGACTGCTTCACCCCAGTACAACTTGGTGGTGGATAATATGATCCTAACTTTGAGACACTTTGGCAGTTTGCGTGTCTCCCTTTTCACCTTGCGTGGAAATCCTGAAAGATCTCAAACACTTGATCTTTTGATTTCACCCATAACTTTCATGAAGCATCATCGATGAAGGTGACGAGGTATGATGCGCCACCATATGACTTGTAATCCATGGGGCTGCACACATTTGAATTCACTAGATCCATGATTTTCTTAGAGCCCGTACTAGAGAAAGAGGCTCTATGTTGTTTCCCTAGCAAATAGTGATAACATGGGGTTAGAAATGCATGCATCTCCCTTAACCCACAATTTTTGGAGTAACATCTGATGCTTTGGTATCCACAACCTAATCCGAGTGGCATGATGCAATATTCATGCACCATTCACCACAATTTCTGTCTACATCATCATCTGTGGTCATTACAGTGGTGTCCCTGTCATCATCTATGGCATTGTCCTCATACCGCTCATTATTGAGTTTTCGGCAATCTTTTTTGATGTGTCCTTCCTTGCCGTAATGAAAACATTGGATCCCCTTTTTCGTCTTCGATTGATTTTGGTCTCTATTCTTGGACCTTCCTCGATTTATGACAAGGGCTTGCTAGTTCGATGTGTCAGAAGCTTTTTTTCTCACCTTTTCATTGAACAGGCTGCTAGTGACCTGACTCGTGGTCACTATCCCATCCGTTGTTGAGTTATTCACAGAGATTACCAGAGTCTCCTAACTGTCCGGCAATTAACCGAGCAAAAATAGAGCATGTAGCTCATCTTCCAGGAGCAACTTCATATTGCGAGTTAGTTAACCATTCTTTGCGCCTCATTCAGGTGTTCTGCAACAGATTCCATGTCCCCGAACTTCATGTTCATTAACTTTCAGATCAAGAATACCTTATTTTCGGTGGTCTTCCTCTCGTACAAGTCATGTAGCTTATCCCATAATGACTTTGAGGATGTCTCCATCGACACATAGTGGAGCACATTTTCTTTCAACTATTGCCAGATAGTTCCAAGAGTCTTTTGGTTAAGTCTATTTCACTCATCATTTGTCATACATTTGGGCTTGTGTTCTACCCATTCAATGGGTACGTACAAGTCCTGACAATATAGTATATCTTCCATCTTTGGCTTCCAGATGATCCAGTTATTCCCATTGAGCAATATAATTCTGCTTTCAGTACTGGAATCCATCTATCCACACATATTGTCTATCCCGTGCGTTAGGGTTAGCTATCGACCATAAGTTACAGTTAAGTGCCGCCTGATCGTTATTGCCACCCAATCGTTATTGCCACCCGATCGTTACTTCCGCCCAATCGTTATTGCCGCCTGATCGTTACTGGCGCCCGATCATTAACTATCGCCCCGATC